GAGCGCCGAGAGCTCGGCATCGTGGGCCCGGCGCTCGATGGTGTGGATCATTTGGCGGGCCTGGAGGGAGGCCCATCGGTCGAGGATCTTGCGGGAGGCAGGGGTGTTATGGTCATTTTCGTCGTGTTTTCCGCGGGTGAGGACTTTGTTGAGGGTCTTGGTGGTGGGGCCGGGGAAGGGGGAGAGTAAGGGGCCCGCTGAGGCCATGGCGGCGGTGAAGGAGAATGGAATTGTGAGATTTTGGTTTTGATTTTTTTTTCGGGTGTGATAAAAAGTGAGGAGGTTGTTGAGGGGGTTTGCTAAAATTGTGAGGGGAGGGGATGGGTTTTTGGAGGAGATGGTAACGATAATGTGTTAAGGCGAGGGCTATATTTAGGGAGGAGGAGGAGGAGGAGGAACGAGCTGGGCATTAATTCCCGCGCCCAGGGATTTGGGTTGTCGTTAAATATTTGTGAAGTTTGGTATTTATTTGTTAGACAAGAGATCGGGGTTGTTGCAATTAAGTCCTGGTAAATATGAAGTTTTGCATGTGTTTGTTATGAACCGATTATTCAACAAAACATGCTCTCAACGAAATTTTAGAGATGTTAATAGTTTAGAATTGTTGTTATGAACCGATGTAATTAGTATGTGGTTTAAGATTTGAATTTGAATTTAAATTGCTATTGATTTAGGATTGAGATTTTAATTTAGAGTGTTACTATTTTTGTAGGACTGTGATCAGGATTATGAAATTCAAAATTTCAATCTTGTTAGATGTATTCTAAAGAGTAGAATTCAAAAAAAAAAAAAAGTTTTAAGTTTAGATATTATGAAATTACTTCTAGAATTTTTGTACCCCATTGTTATATACAGTACAGACTGTAAAACAGATGCATGCATTAGTAACTTTTGAAAGAGGGTATCATATGTGTATACGTATATGTACATGAATGTATATAACAATTTGAAAGTTGATTAATATTTTTCAAAAATTCTTATGAAATCGAGCAATTCTAGTAAAAATTATAAGCGAATGTGGAAATTATGAAAAAGGATTAAACCTCTCATACAGAACAAATGATGTGATAGAAGGTTATGTTTTTCGGTTCTCTACTCTATGTTTTTCAACATCCTTTTTTTTAGGAATTATGTTTTTCACCTTGGAGGGGTATATTTATTTACGAAGCCTTCAAGCTCTAGAATGGCAAGGCGGTGATGAATGATAACAACAAATTTATGAGGGTCATTCTACCAAAAGAACGGCGGGAGTTTTGGAAATGGCCGTTTATGTGGGACCCCATAGAGAAATCTCGAAGAGTTGGATTATAGCCGTTCGAGGACCGGAGTTAGTGGTGGCTGGTTCGAGACTTTTTTGAGGTGGAAAGCAAATTTAAACAATTTCTGGATAAATAAAAGAAAAGGAAAAGGAAAGCTCTGAGGACATGCGGCGTTTAACAAGGCGGAAATTTTATTTAATTTTGTTTTTCCTTTTCCGTTTGTTTCTTTGTATTCAAAAGATCAACGATAACGATCAAATTAATTACATTTCAGCTGGTTGTATGAGGAGTGAGGACAAGTGTTAGATATTTAGGGAGCATTCGACATTTGATTTGGGCCCACACTGTTAACTTGGGCCACAGGAAACTTAAGGCGGTCATGCTTGAAGCGTGACTATTAGAAGAGCCCAGCCCAAGTTGGTATCTCCGTGCCACCACCTGACATTTTGCAACTGCTTGCGATGAGCCGATCTACCTACACGATTTGAAATTTGAGATTTGAGTTCTGTTGAGTTTTAATTTTGGGACATCTCTGCATAACTTCATTATTTTGGGCATGGATCCTTGAAGGCGAGGTCCATTTGCTTGTCGGATCTAGATCCTCCAGGATTTGAACGTGAAGCCTGTATTAGTTTGTCTATCAGCGTGTAATATTTTAGACTCGGGAGTTAGTATTTGGTCGTGTTCATGCATTGACTGGATGGCTGTGTAACATTCACAAAGAATTTATATGGTTTTTAGAAAGAAAAAAAAACATGTTTTCGTTAGATAGCTATCGTGCTAAGGATGGTTTAGGAATGGAAAGTCGATCTCACTTTTGAGTTATGCGACTTAAGTATCTCCTCCCTTGAAAGTAGCTGTGAGTCGCATTAAACAACACATTAGTGTTAGCGTGCCTTGCACCCCATATGAATTAGGGGTGAGGAAACTAACGGTTTGGCCGGTTTCGACTAGTTTTTCTAAAATTGAATTGAACCGAACTAGATTAAAAAACTAAACTGAACCGATCGATCCAAACCAGTTCTGTGTGGTTCGGTTCAGTTTCTTAGGTTTGAGCTTAGACGTGTCAAGTTAGATAGTTTAATCTAAAACTCAATTCTCTTGCTCCCTCAGACCTCTCACTCGTCTCGTATCCCAAGTTAAAGTGCAAACTCGTTCAATCTGAAGGATTGGTGAACATGGCGAAGAACAGCTCAGGAAACAGACAGGAAAACTACCATGGAGTTGGCCGGTCGACCACGAGTCCGCTGGGGTCGACCAGAAACGTGCACGAGGTTCAGGAGGATTTCTGGATGTGAGGCGGTTGACCGTCGCGGTCGACCGCACGGACCCTGTAATGGATTTTGGTCTCGGGATGAGATTTGGCCGGCCGC